ATCGATTCTTTACTGTCAGTAGAATACAAGTCCACCTTCCTTGGGCTGAAATTCGGTGTCCTCCAGAGCTGGGGTTCTGCTTTTCTTTTCACCCTCATATTCCCATGCCCTTTTGTGTTTTTACCCTGTTTTGTTCTCGGACTAAATCCAGCTGCTTGCCGGACCCCCGGACGGCCACGTTTCCTGCCTTCATGCCTCTCCTTAAGCTGTCCGTAACACTTGCAGTGTTCTGACTTTGCCTCCCTACCTAAAGAACTCTTCAAAGCCCTGTTGAAATGCCATTTCCTCCACAAAACTTGTCCCAGAGCCCCCAGTCAAGATGACTCGTTTGGTGCCGTGTCCTCTCAGGGCTTTGCTTTCAGTGTGACTGGCGCGCTGCCCACGTCCTGTCCCATGTCCCCGCTATTTGCAAATCTGATTCCCTGATCCCAGACTCTGTGTGCTGTCCACCTTTGCCCCTCCTGCAGAACTGAAGAAAGGGCTCCCTGCTTCTTCCTCCTCTGGAGAAGACTACAGTGACCTTTTTCTTCAAAACTGTGGTGAGAATATTCATAGCAAAACATTTACTATTTTAGCCATTTAAAAATTTACAGTTCAGTGCCAGTAAGTACATTCACACTGTTGTGTGGCCATCAACACCATCCGTCTCCAGCACTCTTCTCAGCTTGCAGAACTGAAACTCTGTGCTCACTGAAGCACAATTCCCCATTTCCCTTCCCCGTCGACCCTCGTAAACAACAGTCTACTTCTATCTGTGTGACGCTCACTTCTCTTGGTAACTCATGTAAGTGGAATCAAGCAGTATTCATTCTTTGGTGACTGGCTTATTTCATTTAGCATAATGTCCTCAAAGTTTAGCTATATTGTAGCATGTGTCGGAATTCCCTTCCTTTTTAAGGCTGAATAATGTTCCATAGTATGTCTCTACCACATTTTGTTTATCTGTCCATCCATCAGTGAACATTTGGGTTGTTTCTACCTTTTGAAAATGTTAGTTGTTCAGTCGAGTTCAACTCTTTGTGATCCCATGGACTATAGCCGGCCAGGCTTCTCTGTCCATGGGATTTCCCAGGCAAGAATACTGGAGTGAGTTGCCATTTCCTTCTCTAGGGGATCTTCCTAACCCAGGGACCAAACCCGGGTCTCCTGCATTGCAGGCAGATTCTTTACCATCTCAGCCACCAGGGAAGCTCAGAAAACCTACCTTTTTGGTGTTATGAATGATGCTGCTGTGAAGCTGGTTGTAAGTCTATGAACATATCATTTCCAGTCCCTGCTTTCAACTCAAGTATAGACCCAGAAGTGGCATTGTTCAATTATATGGTAATTCTGTGCTTTCTTCTTTCAGAGACTGCAGTACTGGTGAAGCAGTGGGTGCACCATTTTACAGTCCCACCAGTAATGCACAAGTGTTCTGATTTCTCTGCATGCTCTCCAACATTTGGTCCTTTCTATTTTTTATTTTTTAATAATAACCATTCCAATGGGAGTAAAGGGGTCCAGAGTAACCTTTTTGCTATTGCGTTTTGGACTGGGAGCTGACTGTGGCTCAGATCATGAACTCCTTATTGCAAAATTCAGACTTAAATTGAAGAAAGTAGGAAAAACCACTAGACCATTCAGGTATGACCTAAATCAAATCCCGAACGATTATATAGTGGAAGTGACAAATAGATTCAAGGGATTAGATATGATAGAGTGCTTGAAGAACTATGGATGGAGGTTTGTGACCTTATACAGGAGGCAGTGATCAAGACCATTCCCAAGAAAAAGAAATGCAAAAAGGCAAAATGGTTGTCTGAGGAGGCCTTACAAATAGCTGAGAAAAGAAGGGAAGCTAAAGGCAAAGGAGAAAAGAAAAAATATACCCATTTGAATTCAGAGTTCCAAAGAATACTAAGGAGAGATAAGAAAGCCTTCCTCAGTGATCAATGCAAAGAAATAGAGGAAAACAAGAGAATGGAAAGACTAGAGATCTCTTCAAGAAAATTAGAGATACCAAGGGAACATACATGCAAAGATGGGCACAATAAAGGATAGAAATGGTATAGACCTAACAGAAGCAGAAGATATTAAGAGGTGGCAAGAATACAAAGAAGAACAATACCAAAAATATATCTTTATGACCCAGATAACCATGACGGTGTGATCACTCACCTAGAGCCAGGCATCCTGGAATATGAAGCCAAGTGGGCCTTAGGAAGCATCACTACAGACAAAGCTAGTGGATGTGATGGAATTCCAGTTGAACTATTTCAAATCCTAAAAGATGATGCTGTGAAAGTGCTGCACTCAGTATGCCATCACATTTGGAAAACTCAGCAGTGGCCACAGGATTGGAAAAGATCAGTTTTCATTCCAATCCCAAAGAAAGGCAATGCCAAAGAATGTTCAAACTACTACATAATTGTACTCATCTCACATGTTGGCAAAGTAATGATCAAAATTCTTCAAGCCAGGCTTCAACAGTACATGAACCATGAACTTTCAGATGTTCAGGCTGGATTTAGAAAAGCCAGAAGAACCAGAGATCAAAATGCCAACATACGGCAGATCATTGAAAAAGCAAGAGGGTTTCAGAAAAACATCTACTTCTCTTTATTGATTACAGTAGTCTTTGACTATATGAGTCACAACAAACTGTGAAAAAACTCTTCAAGAGATGGGAATACCAGACCACCTGACCTGCCTCCTGAGAAATCTGTATGCAGGTCAGGAAGCAACAGTTACAACCAGACATGGAACAACAGACTGGTTCCAAATGGAAAGGAGTACGTCAAGGCTGTATATTGTCACCCTGCTTACTTAACTTATATGCAGAGTGCATCATGTGAAATGCTGGGCTGGGTGAAGCACCAGCTGAAATCTAGGTTGCCAGGAGAAATATCAATAACCTCAGATATGTAGATGACACCACCCTTATGGCAGAAATCAAAGAAGAACTAAAGAGCTTCTTGATGAAAGTGAAAGAGGAGAGTGGAAAAGCTGGCTTAAAACTCAGCATTCAGAAAACTAAGATCACGGTATGTGGTCCCACCACTTCCTGGCAAATAGATGGGAAAACAATGGAAACAGTGAGAGATTTTATTTTCTTGGGCTCGCTCCAAAATCACTGTATATGGTAACTGCATCCATGGGATTAAAAGACGCTTGCTTCTTGGAAGAAAAGCTATGACCAACCTAGACAGCATTTTAAGAAGCAGAGATACTACTTTGCCAATAAAGGTCTGTCTAGGCAAAGCTATGGTTTATCCAGTAGTCATGTATGAATGTGAGAGTTGGACTATAAAGAAAGCTGAGAGCTAAAGAATTAATGCTTTTGAACTGGCATTGGAGAAGATTCTTGAGAGTCCCTTGGACAGCAAGGAGATCAAACTAGTCTGTCCTAAAGGAAATCAGTCCTGAATATTCCCTGGAAGGACTGATGCTAAAGATGAAGCTCCAATACTTTAGCCACCTGATGCAAAGAACTGACTCATTGGAAAAGACCCTGATGCTGGGAAAGAATGAAGACAGGAGGAGAAGGAGAATGCAGAGGATGAGATGTTGGATGGCATCACCGACTTGATGGACGTGAGTTTGAGCAAGCTGCAGGAGTTGGTGATGGACAGGGAAGCCTGGTTCGCTGCAGTCCATGGAATCGCAAAGAGTTGGACATGACTGAGCGACTGAACTAAACTGAACTGACGGTGTTTTGGATGTCTAAATCCGAAAGTCTCATTTAGAGAAGAACTCTTAGCATCCATCCATCTGTGCCTCCTAGTCAAAAAGCATTGCCTTGATTTCATGACCAAACTTTCCAGATTTTTTTCTGGAAGGAATGTCCACACTGAGAGGGCCTCATCATTGAAACAAGTAGATAAACCCACAGCTAAAATCTTTCTTGGCACATGTTGTGCCATCCATGGTGAAAAAAAAAATCAGACTACACAGTCTGTGGTCCGAGTCTGCCTATGTGTGATTTGGAACAATAGAAACTTCCTGCTGGCTCATTCGTAATGTAGGCTTGTCCTGGCTCAGAACTTACAGAGAAAAAGGGGCCAGGTTGGCATCCCTGATATGTGTTCTCTTGAGCGCCACTTTGAACTCTTCTCCCATACTCTCATTTGGCTGCTTTTGGCTACCATTTGAAGTCAGGACAATAGTTTGAAAATGTCTGCAGCTGGATTGCCTCTTTTTCACTCTAAGGCATGTTCACGGCTACTGTTCAGGATTTGCCCTGAACCAGCTCCTCCATTTGGAAACCAACTCTGGAATGATTGCCATGTCGCTTTGAAAGTCCCATTTTGATCAGCAGATGCTCCTCAGTCTGGGGAGAGAGTTTAATGTGGCCTAATCTTCATTTGTGTGTATGTTGGTTTTTCTCTAATTGTTTGGTAGTGCTTTCGACATCCTTTATCTTCCACTTTCATTGCTTGATGTAAATGGATATTTTTTTTCTTCCAGGAATATAATGATTCATGTAGCTGTTAATATGGGCGGTGGGATGAATTGGGAGATTCGGACTGACATATGTACACTGCTGATACTATGCATAAAGTAGATAACTAATCAGAACAGTGTCTAGAACAGGGAACTCTACTCAGCCCTCTATGCTGACTTAAATGGGAAATAAATGCAAAAAGAGGGATATATGTATACGTATAGCCAATTCACTTTGCTGTAGAGTAGAAATGAACACAGAATTGTAAAACAGATGTGTGTGAATGCCAAGTCGATTCAGTCAAGTCCAACTCTTTGCGATCCTATAGACTATAGCCCACCAGTCTCCTCTATCCATGGGATTTTCCAGGCAAGAATATTGGAGTGAGTTGCCATGCCCTCCTCCAGGGGAATCTTCCTGATCCAGGGACGGAACCTGTGTCTCTTATGTCTCTTTCATTGACATGCAGGTTCTTTACCATTAGCGCCACCCGAGAAGCCCTGCAAAGCAATTAAAATGAAAATTAACAAGAATATGATTGTTTTTAAACTTACTTCTCTTTTTTTTTTCTTCTCAGAATGTTGTACCGTCTTTGGGCAGGCAGACTTCCCTGACAACGTCGGTGATACCCAGAGCGGAGCAAAGTGCGGCCTACAAAGACTTTATCTATTTCACCATCTTCGAAGGGAATGTCCGCAATGTGTCTGAAGTCTCGGTGGAGTATTTATGCTCTCAGCCTTGTGTTGTCAATTTGGAAGCAGTTGTTTCATCTGAGTTCAGAAGTAGCATTCCCGTGTACAAAAAAAGGTGGAAGAATGAGAAACATCTTCACACCAGCAGAACACAAATCGTACATGTGAAATTCCCGAGCATCATGGTTTACAGAGATGATTATTTCATCAGACACTCCATTTCAGTATCTGTGGTGATACTACGCGCCTGGATTACTCACCAATGCAGCAGTGGGGACTTGAATGTTAAATGGGAGGAAAATTTGCTACATGCTGTAGCAAAGAATTACACGCTGTTGAAGACTGTCCCGCCTTTTGAACGCCCTTTCAAAGATCATCAAGTGTGCCTTGAGTGGAACATGGATTATATTTGGAACCTTCAAGCAAACAAGATTCCCCAGTGTCCTCTCGAGAATGGTAGGTCATTTGCCTTTTTAGGAATCTAATGCTTATTTCTTCAGACAGCCTGGATGGGAGGAGGAGGAGTGTATGAGAAAATTCTTATCTTAGAAATGGGGGACACGAGGCAAACTGAGTCTGTAATTTTGGACTATGGGGAGAAAAGGGAGAAAATGAAAAGGTGTGAGAAGAGAAAGAGTAGGAGAGAACAGGATTGAAGATGGAGGTGAGATAAGGACAGAGGGTCATGGAAGGGTGCTTTGAGAGGCTTGGATCTACTTTACGTTGAAGAGGAACATTAGTGCCACTGAAATAAGGATCTGGAAAATCTTCCTCCTCATCTCCTTCAAAAAGCCCTCAAGTGTTGGTTTTGGTGTAGCATTAGCTTTGCAGCCAAGTACCTGAGTTCAACTCCTGGCTTTGCCACTTTCTGCCAGTGTAACTTTGGAACTTTCAGAACCTCAGTTTTCTTATCTGTAAAATGGGATAATAAATAACAATTCCCTCAGGGCGGTGTGGTGAGAATTAAACAAGATGTGCTTAACACATAATCAACACTCAGTAAAAAGTAGTAGGCATAATGATAGAATGCAAACTGTATATTTTAACCCAAATGTCACAGGGTCACAGCCACTGAAGGATCAATGAAGGAGGCTCCTATGCCTTTTTTCAGCCTTCTTTAAGCACTGGGGTTGGAGGTCATTGGCTACGTGCATTTGGAAGAAGAGGGCTATAGTTCTCTCCATTGTTGCAGGGGGCACCTTGCTATGTGGATGTGGAGTGCCTGCTGCCTCTCTCCCCATCCTGCAATGGGGAGCCTATACAGGCATGCTCCCAGGCACTCACCCCGAGCCTGGTTGTGTTTGTTAAAGTGGGACCCTATGATCATCTGTAACAATCACCCAGGGCTTTTGTTGCAAATGCAGATTCCCAGTCCTCATCTATTTCCTGCTTAGACAGGATCTGTAGGGTGTCCAACCCTGGAATTCACATTTTAAATACATTTCCATGACTCTGATGCACCTTAAAGCTTAAGAATCCTGGGAGCAATGATAGAGCTGGTGGGACTTTGAGTTGAAGTGGCTGGACCCCCAGGCAGATGTGGAGGGTGGAGGAAATCCAATGGCAGTGAATATTTCCTGGGGTCACTCCCAAACAACCCCGCATATAATGAAAATAGAATGGACCAGAATAATCATGTGGTATATAGTTGGTCAGAGGCCACTTGCTGTAGAACCAATACATTTGGCATTTAAAAATACTCTTTATTTTGAAATAAATAGAGATTTGCAGGAAGTTGCAAAAATGGGAGCGAGTCCTTGTTTATTTCCCCCAGCTCCCCCTAACTGACATCTTCCATAACTAGAGTACAATATCAAAACCAGGAAACTGACGCTGATCTAATACCCCTAACTAGACTGCAGACCTTCTTCAGAGTACACCTGTTTTTACAAGCACTTTTGTGTGTGCATAGTTCTAGACAATTTCATCCTACATTTTATTTTATAGTCCTCTTCTGTGCCTGGTTTATGTCTGAGCAGTGCTTTAAGTGTAGAAAAATCTAGAAGAATCCCTTTTCTGTCTTTCTGTGTGTGTGTGTGAGTGTGCACATTGAGGGTAGGGTGGGATGGGCAGTTAAGCCTCTGAAATAGTCAAGCTGCATGCATTTTGATGATGCGTGCGCATCCCTCTTCCAGGCAGGGCCCCATGCTAGCATCTGTCTGGAATGCCTTCTGCGGGGATACCTAATTTGTTAAGGAGAAGGCAGCACGGGGCACAAGCAGACACAGTTTTGCTTTGCCTCCGATTGATTTTGTCAGGGCTTAATGATTCCATTTCATGTTTGGCAAATCACATATTTCTCATTGAAGAATGACTGAATCTCAAGCTGGAAGTTTTCAAATGAAGTCATTTATGAACCGGCTGAGTTCTTAGGGTGCCCGAACATACCCTTAAAATGCGAAACGTCTTTTCTTTCTTTTGTTGTTCCTTCTCAGTAGTCACTGGGTTCAGGAACAGCACAGTGGGTTTTTGTCTCCCCACCTCCTTCAGACCATTACTTTCGGGGCAAGACCAGTCTAATAAAGGCATAATGCGGAAGGAAACCTTTTCTAAGAGTCAGAGTCACTGACAATGGTGGGGGGGGGGGGCTCCATCCACCCGCAAAACCAGCTATTTGCCGGGCTAAGGTTTGTTCACCAGCAAAGGGGAGCACTTCCCCTCCCTGTCTTAAAAAGGAAATCAAAAGAGAGTCTGCCGCAAGGCCCGTGGAAAGTGTCCATGACCTTTGTTCTTGATATCAGCGGCGCAATAGAAGGGGGCCAGGCCTCTGGCTGTTCCCAGCGGGGTCTTCTTTATTCTGCTCTTGGAGAACAAGAGTCAAGTCCGAACAACAAGGTGGCATTAGTGCGCCGCGGGGGCGCTTTCATTCCTGCCCCCATCGCAGTCTGCCGCCAGCCCTGGTGTGGAGTGGGGGGGACGTGTTCTGTATCAAGTGCCTGCTGTCCTACAAGAGCTCTGCGTCTGAACTAAGTGCCCCCTGACTCGCTTGCATTTTCTTTTCTCTTTATGAAGAGAGAGCCCAGTCTCGGCGCACACACATTCCATCTGTGTGGTTGGAGCGCCCTTCCACCTAAAGCCTTCAGTTAGGCTTCCGGGGCCAGAGCTGTGCTCCCTGACGCTCTTTGCAGCTCATCTCCCGTGCTGGGATCGTGCCAGGCTGGCCGGTGGGCTGGTTTTGGGTGGAGGTGCAGCCGGCTTCCGTCCAGCCCTGCTGGGTCAACCTACCCCGGATCAGAAGCTGGCAGCTTTTCAGGACACGTTTGTGCCAAGGCTCGGCCACGTGCCCTGCCAGTGCACCTGTTCCTGCCGTCAGCCAATAGATCCACCCTGCCTGGGCCCACTGATTGTCTGTTCCCTTGTGGGGAGGACACCGGGCATTATCTGCTGCCCTGTCACACGTGTGCCTGACTCACGCATGAGCTCACCCAGAGAAAGAAATCAACTGCTTGGGCTGGTGACTCCAGGGGCGCACCTGGACTGCGCGTTCTGTTGTGAGAGGTCAGCAGGCCCTGGGGCCTCCATCTTCAGCCCCGACCACGTATTCAATCGCTGTTCACCATGTGTCTGCTGTCGTCCTGGTCTAAGCCACCATTGTCCCTGTCTGGATTCTGGCCGCAGTCTGCAGATGGCCTCCCCACTGGCCCTCGTCCCCCTACGCAGTGGCCCCTGATGGAGGAGGGAAGGATCACCCACGTCCCTGAGCATGGCCTGTGGAATCTGTCCCTGTCCCCTTAACCGGCCTCATATCCTGCCACACTCCTCCTTGCCCACCTGTTCCAGCCTTGCAGGCCTGCTTGCTTCTCCCTTGGTGTACCAAGTTCATTTCCGCTTTGAGACATTTGCATCACTGTCCCCTCCCCCTAACATGCTCCTCCCCCAGATCGCTGTGTGACTTGCTCTCTTACCTCCTGACAACCTCTGCATGAATGTCATCTTCCTGGGGACAGCTCCCGGGACCACCTTATCTAAGACGGCAGCCCTACCCGGGTGCTCCCGCCACACCGGTATCCACCGTTTATTTCCCTCATGACCTTAGCACCCCCAGGCCTTGTAATTCAATGTACTGAATGGTTTATTTGCCTGTGGAGTGTCTCTGTACTAGCGCACAGGCTCCACAAGGCCTGGTTTATTTGGTTCTGGTGCCTGATGTGACATCCTGTACATCGCAGGCACGTGACAACTGCTTGCTGATTGAGGGATGAGGGCTCTTAGCCAAGAGGCAAGGACCCTTTCTCTCTTGGCTTATGTGTGACCATCACACTGTGACAGCCTTCTCACATGGCCATGCTAGGGAGCGTGTGGGGCGGGGTCAGCCGTGTGCCTTCCCTCGGGCCTGTACACACTGGGGCTTCCTGGGTGGAGACCGTTTCCGCTGTGCTGGTTAAGGCTGCAGTGATTCTCCTTTGCAACTGCGCATGAGCCCACCTTCACCCTGCACCTGCCCTCTAGTTCGAGTCTGTGATCACTCATCTGTAATGCCTTGGCTAATGCATCTCTTTTTATTGGAAACTGCCATCCCGCCGCCCCCACCCCCAACACTCTCCCAGCCCCACGCCACCTTTCATGTTTTCCTAGCAAAATCATAGTCATATTTCAGTAGTCCGCTCAAATTTTCCAATACTTCCCCGCGAGGGTTTCTCTTTTCTTTCCTTTCCTTTCTTGATCCTCAAGTCGGAAACTAACTTTTTGCCCTCCAGCTTCCTCTGGTTCTCTCTCGGTACTCACCACCCCTTCTGATGTGTATCATGTTCAATTCCATAAAGACTGATTGAACACCTATCCTGTGCCAATTTCTTTCCTAAGCCTGGAGATTCAAAGATGCAGACGTGGTCCTCTCTTTAAGGTGGTTATCCAGAAGCAAACCCAGCTTCCGATAGTGACAGTCACCTCCCCTTACTGAGCACTCGGTGTGTGCCAGGAGCTGTGCGAAGGGTTTGTGCAAGCATCTAATCTAATACCAGTGCACTGCTGCCATCGTTTATAGAGGAGGAAACGGACTCAGAGAACTAATTTGTCTAGAGTCACACAGCTAATGATGGAGCTAGGACTTGAACCCAGGTAGTTTCGTTTCCAAACACCATACTTAACTACTAAGCTATATTGCCAGGGGATGTCGTGAAGCTATTTATTTAAGTCACTTATTCATAAAAAAAAGTTACTGAGCAATCTGCATCTTAGGTACTTTGCAAGGGTTCTTCACAGAGGAAGTGACATTTGTAACCAGAATTTTTAAGAAGGAGTAGAGTTTCCATAGTCAGAAAAAGAATATAGGAAAAGAACCCACCTGCCGGTGCAGGAGACATAAGAGGCACAGGTTGGATCCCTGAGTCGAGAAGATCCCCTGGAGGAGGGCATGGCAACCTACTCCAGCATTCTTGCCTGGAGAATCCCATGGACAGAGGACCCTGGCGGGCTACAGCCCATGGGGTCACAAAGAGTCAGATACGAACGAAACA